AATCATTAATATGCAATCGTTCGATGGGCTGAATTGCACAAAACGCATGATCGCACCGGCTAGTCTAGTGCGCATTGCTATTTATTTTTAATAAATTGTTTGCTAGAGAACTTGCAATGATTTAATTTATTTTTGATATTAGTATTGTTCCGAGGCAATTTAACAACGGAAAAAATAAGTTGACCACCGACATGTAGCAGTGATTTATAGTCATTGCATAGTTGGAGAACTGGGCTGTGAATTAGTAACTGATTCAAGTTTCTGTGGTAATGAGATTGGTCCTGTGCTGATCAGGTACTAATGTTAGAATATTTCCATTCAATAGCAGTTGTGATGGATTCTGTGAAGTAAATATTATTATCGAAGTTGTATTTGGCCTGAAAAAGTATCGCAAGCTAGAACAGAATTGAAAATTCAGTCAAATTTACTGCAAAATTTTTTAAGGATGTATTTATGCTTCCCGATACAACAGTTCTGAATACAAAAACTGTTGCTGAAATATTGCGCATGGGTTACACTCGAATACCTGTCTTCTCGGGCAACCGGTAAAACTGCTTTTTGACTATTCTTCAGCTTTTATTTTGCATATTTCTCCTCTTGCTAGAAATACTTTGTTCAGTTATATTTTCGAGTCAGGTTCTGTTGCATGAGACAAGAAATCATTTCCAGTTACCCTGACCAGTGCTGCACCGCTGCCGATGAATACTCTTCTTGTGATTCCGGTGCAAGTTTCATGTGCTGAAAGGGCTAGTAACTCAGTTTTTCCACCGGAACTGCTTGATAGAACTTTAGGCGTAACCTCTTTCCCTGCCCTGAGTATCCACGACAAGAACCAGAAGCGCACTTCTTCCTTTCCATCCATCGTCACCCCCTCTCCCTCTAGGCAGCCGTCAAAAGACCTATGCCACGTAGCTATTCAATTCACCTCCCCAATTTCCTGCCCCTGCCTCGGATCCTCGCGTGCGAAACTCGTCGAGCCCCACCACTTCGTCCAGAGCGATGCCTTATCAATTTTCAGAACCGAAAAAGCATTTTTTTTTCATGTCTGAAAATTTCTCGTCCATTTTTTTCCTGTGTTTGTATCTATCTATACGGTGAATTTTTTCCCGATTACTAAAATGCCTTGCAAAAAAGAAAAACCAAGGCATTTGTTATATTACAGGAATACGGTAGTGGCTCTGTTGTTCGTCAAAGATTTGGCGCTTCTGGATCCGGATGATAATTTCACCATTCAAACGGTTTGCGGATTTCACGAGCATCCGTTACGTTTTGTGATGGAAGACACACCGCTACGTGTTATGCTTGAGGAATTCAAGAAAGTTAGCTTATTTGCATTACTCCTTAACGTACAGTTTCAGAGATGTATTACTTGGACGGGGAACGTTCCCCTATGATTTCAGCGTTTTAGCTTCCCAGATTCCCGAGT